GATAGCGCATGAGTCCTTTAAAAAAAAAAATCTTCGATTGAAATACGCTTTATTAACAGTAAACTAATAAAACGCACTGCATGTCTCGCATATTAGGTACCGGCATCCTTGAAGGATCAAAGTAAAAAAAATATATATATATGTACGTATTCAAATTAGAAGTAATTTAACATAATAATTTAGCATATATTATTAAACGTCTTAGTCGTAGCTAAGACGTTTCAATATTGAGCCGTTCAATGCTATCAAGCATCTGGTAAGATTACGATCAGCCTAGTCAATATAATAAAACGATTCTCGACGCGAACATAGTCGAGCAATTTGTTCAATCTGGCCTGTGCTTCGTTGACAGCAGCAGCCCTCTGACCTAATTCTTGCGACCGTGAACGTGTGAGCATGTCATTACACGAGCGTCAATGTCGTCGTTATAGAGACACACGATGAAGTAGTAATTTTTTAATTGCGAGCACTTCGCACTCTCTTATCGTGCAAATGACGTAACTAAAAAAGGTGAAGTATGCACAAGTACGCATATTTATTCTCATATGAAACAACTTTAACACTGTAACAATTAATTTTAAAAGCTTTTCCGCGGCTTATTCTATAAATACTACGATAACATGAATTTTGTTAGATTAAGCGGTTAGACTTATTAATTAAAATTTAACTGAATATTTTTTGGAAATATGCCCCACCTAAATTATATAAAATTATTTATAATTTATAATATATATTTTTTACTTTAATCCTTTGAAATATAATAAGTGTCAATAAAGACACTTAATATATGCATTTTTATATATTTACAGTAAATGGCAATTTAAAAGTTTTCAGAAATATCAGATACAAACTGAATATTTAAAATGTCGAGTTCATACTAATTATCAAATTAATTATTTTTCTATTATACTAAATCCGAGATATTGATTTGCAGATTATAATGATGAGTGTAATATGAGATTTAAGAAAATGCAAACGATCGATCCAAAAATGCACAATCGATTCCATTATGAAATGGACTATGGACTCTAATAATCTATACGCGCTTAAATCACTTACGTATGACAATCAAGTAAAAATTATCAACTGATGCCTTGCTTCTATTTCACATAAAAAAGTTCTAATCTACGTAATCACGATGTAACGTATAATCTTGATAAATTCTTCTGCAAATATCGTTAATCATAATACCTGATATTTAGCTGCATGATTCACAATCTGCAATTTTTCGTAATAGATAATTAATTATAGATTATTTTTAATCTTCAGCCAGCCATGCATTTGCCGTAAGCGCAACATACCAATAAATATTATAAATTTTGAAATATTGAAGCGCAACAATACGATGGGGATATAAAAGCCGTTTTCCGAGAGCTGAAAAAACCGGTTTTCTTTCATATTTGTGTGACCAAATTTGATTAGCCTTCTAATAAAATGATGACAGATTTTATGCGATAGCACATAAATTTGCTCTGCAGCTTTGGGATGCATTTAAATTTCGTGACAGCGCACCTTTGTGATGCGACCAGGCGGTTGACCCTCACACAATTTCTAAGGGGGCCCTCCACGCCCTTGGTGGTTTTAGGGGGCCTGTTCAGAGAATTCTGGACTGAAGATCGTACGGTATGGCGTTGGAAGCATCTGTATACCTTCGTGTGTCACACCCTTTCTCTATGCTTTTCCTTTTGCCATCCGTCTCGGTACAAAGGCTACGACATACTCCCTCTCTCTGTCTCTCTCTCTTTACCTCCTGGAATCCGATACAAGATAACCGTTGCTCCTGATCGCGTCGTTGAGTCGAATTATTTGTACAACGCTTTCTACGAGATACAGGTCCCGTCATAGATTAGATCGACGATGTTTTGAAAAGGTATACGGTATTCTTGTCGGCGTTTCTAAAATTCTACCTCGATTCTCTTGTATTTGGCGTGTAATCACAAACAAACAGCTTTCTCCAGTTCTTCTGATACATTGTAATCAGTTAAACTAATCAGCGTTTCGCAAATTAAGAAGAAGAGAACTAAGAAATTTGTATATCATATTAGAATCAACAGAGTTTAAAAAGAAATCATTTAAAAAACTTTTGGCGATTTTTTTAAATTTTTGAATATTGCTTGCTGGCTTGGTTTACACTTTACACTATAACATATTTACAATACTGATTATTCTTACAAGTTTTAGCCTTGATATTGATAAGATAGACAGTTATCCGATGATATCATATATGTACAGAGAATTGTCAATATGCGAACTTAGAGTTCGAACATTGCTTTTCTCTATCGAATTTATTTTATTATCCTCGTAACGTTAAAACAATTTTTACAATAACGAGAAAATTATTGTATTAAAGAAATATACGTTCCTCTTTAACGAAGAAATTTTTAAAACCTCTTAATAAAGATTACAGGCGTGTATCGATCTTATTAATGATCTACTTCATAATATCGTCTCAGAAGTAAACAAAGCCATAAAATGTTTTTAGCGATGATGAAATATTTAATTACGTAAAGTTAGGCGGAGTGTCTTCAACATACAAGACGACCACCGTTATCGTCACTTCGCGCCATACGGGAAAAAGCACGCGGTCCAAAGTGTCACGCCTTTCGCGCGTATACTGAAAGACCCTCGCTTGTCACTCTCTTTTCACGTTAATGAAATTATCGTGCGCTTACTTAATGCCTAAATATAGAAGCGATCGCGTTCCACATTGTGGTCGCGACGGGTAATTCTTCAAAAGAAAGCGCTCCGATAATCGTCGAGGAATGTGCAACTATGCGGGACGCATGCAAAAGTAAAACGATCGCGTATAGACTTTAACCGAATCACATAGCAATTTTCTTTTTTGTGAAATTGAAGCTTTAAAATTATATTAAATTAAGCTGTTTATTTTTAATAATTTTAGAAATTAACACCAGCCTGAGTCGAAAGATATTTTTAATTTTATAAGATATTAATATAGTTTTATAAACGATATAATATTTAAAAATATTAAATATAACAGAAAGAATTCTTTTAATAAGATAATTTCAAAATTTTCTGTAATAATTAATATTCTATATAGAAATTATGTAAGACTTAAATTTACTTGATATATTAGATCTCTCTCTTCACTTACACAGTATCCTTATTTACTTCTTCAAAAAGCTGTCGGTGAAACTGTTGAAATCGTTAAATGACTTAACATGTACGTATAAGGAAGTTTCGAACAGGCAAGTTGAATGCCAATTAATTCCCTGGCGGTCTGAGGTGAAAGTAAACGAGCGTGAGGATACCCTGCACGAGATTCGTGTCACGGTATTGTCCATGGAATTTGCCGACTTTGTAATCTGTATACGGCGTTCGATGCACCGCAACAGAATGTTATCAACGACTCTACGACTATCGCTAGTTATTTTTCGCAAAATAGAACCATGAATTTATGTGAAGTTGTACAATTTTAATAATTCGATGCGATATCTGAATCAGAAAAATGCTTGAAATATATCCCTTTGCACGTGATACATCAGGATGTTTCATTACGCGTTCATCTATATGCTCTTTATGGGCGACAGTGTTTTCAGAAGAAACACGCCGCAGAAATAGTTTCGGGCTGGCATCGATTGACTTTACAGTGACGCACCGAAAATCTGAAACTGCATCCGCTATAAAAACACTTTCGCGTGAATACCAGCCGCCAGGGGGGCCGGACAGTGTATTATTATAATTAAACGCCCACCATGCATAATACAGCGCGCAGCGTGTAAGAGATTCTGCACACTATTAATTCGATGTCTACTACATTCTAAAATTGTCGAAATAATTAACAAGCTATGAATTATAAAGGATCGCACACGAAGATTGTCCTAAAATTAAACTTAAAGATGTAAATAATTGAATTTTTTAAATTTAATTGCGAATGAATTATTTTTAGATGAAATCTGAAATTAACATGTTAAAAATACAGATTTAGTAAAGAAGGGAGCACATTTTTTCTAAAGAATTTTTTTCTAAGAAATTGAAAACTTATAAACAAAAGAAAACATGACGTATTAAGACAGCCTTTATGTGACTGGACCCCTCAAAGTACAAAGTACATCACGTTCAGAGGCACCGTATATCTAACGGAATATGCATACTGCAGGAAGATGAATGCCGACGATCCATACTTGGAAACCTTTCCTTTTTAGGCAATCATGCGTATAAACGGATAATCGTTCACCCGGATAGAAATATATAATTGTTGACAGCCTTTCTTTTTTATATAAAATATTCAATGTCTACTTAATTAAAATTTAATTATGGATTCTGCAAAACTGCTTTTTATTACAAAAAATAGCTTTTATAATTAAAAAAAATGCATACTTAAAATTCTCGTAACACTAGAACTACCGACAATATACCTACTTTTACTATTTAAATATGTAACATATGTGTATCTTAAAAAAAAGAGGCTAAAATGGAAAAGAAATTAATCGATTTAATTATTTACATATTGCAACAAAAATCACGAAAAATTTTAGAAAATGTCGAAGATATCATAATATTATAAATTTTGAAAAACTCTAAACTAATAAATCAGTTATTTTTCTATTGTTTTGTTTCTAGTGTTAAACAAAACTTACTTTTAATGTTATAATGCGAATAATCTCCATTTTTGTGTAATATAAAAATTTGTGTGGTTAATAATAATAGTGCTAATAATAAAAATATTATAAAAAAATTACTCATTTTTTTGCGCATTCTCTAAAACCGATATCTGTATTTATGGAAAAAGATCGGAGAAACAACTGATGCTGTGACAGATTAGGTCAATGACTCCGGTAATGCCCTTGTCGCAGTCCCTACAGGATGTATTACTTGGTACCGTGGAACATCACGTAATTAATAACCGGCTCTCCGCATAATACCGAGGCATTGACACTGTGTCGCCCCGCGACCAAGAATTCGAAGACACAAACGGTACCTCCGCTATTGCGCTTTTACTTAAGAGGGTATATCACACGAATTTCTTCGTGTTACAGATCAATAGCAAGTACAGCGAGGAACTCGCGCAAGAATGTTTGGAATGGATCAAGACGATCACCGGTGAAAACATAAACACCAACGGGGACATGGACAACTTCTACGAAATTCTGAAGGACGGCACCCTGCTTTGCAGGTACTTGAAGAAATTGGAAAACTGACGCCGCGCCGCGGGTCAGTTTTCCAATTTCGGCTTAACTGCCGAAAATACAGTGGGGTAGAAACGGTTTTGCTAATCGCATTTTGTTTTTCTGGTAGGCTGGTGAATGACATCAAGGAGGGCTCGGTGAAGAAAATTAACAAGACGTCGCTGGCCTTTAAATGCATGGAGAATATAAACGCCTTCTTGGAGGCTGCGAAGTCATTAGGAGTTCCGCCGCAAGAGACCTTCCAGACCGTAGACCTCTGGGAAAGACAGAATCTAAATTCCGTTGTTATTTGCTTACAATCTCTTGGGAGGAAGGTACGGTTCCATCCCGCAAACACAAATATACCGGGTAGTTTAAATTTCGATGTATAGTTATTTTTTCACTAATCTGGAATATCGAACACATATTTGTGTCATAAAACGTATGAAAATGAAAATCTTTATACAAATTAAATCTTAACATATATGTGCTAAAAGTTTGCTTAGTTTAATTTGTTAGCAGAGAACTGTATTTAATTTACATTTAAAAATCTTACTTGTCACATTCATAATTTTAAATATTAAAAAATTAAATAAAAATAATATAAAATAAAATTTTCATAAAATTAACTAATACATATAATCTTATTTAAGAAAATAAACAACTTTTTTTCATATTTTCAATCATTGTTAAATCGATCATTATTATGTTCGTAACGCAAAAAGATCTGAATTTTCTGATACGGATGTCCATTATCTTTCATTATATTTACATCTCTACAAATGAATTCGTTATCAGTATTTACATATCGTTCTTTGTTCTTATATTGTGTGTTTTAACGTGTTTTAAGGTGCACTTAATTTATAGTATTTCGAAAATACCAATATTCCATAAGACTCATTTTTACAGGCGGGTAATTACGGCAAACCAAGCATCGGTCCTAAAGAAGCGGATAAGAATGTACGCAATTTCACGGAGGAACAACTGAGGGCCGGACAGGGCGTGATAAGTCTACAATATGGCAGCAATAAAGGTGCCAATCAAAGCGGCATTAGTTTCGGAAACACCAGACACATGTAAACATTCACCTCCGCATTCGCGTCGAGAGGCAAAACCATTTTGTTCTCACCTCTCTTCTGACTTTATTCCCGTACTCCTTTAGACGTAGCGTAACGCATAATAGATGTTAACGAGGTCCAAAATGAAGTATATTAAACGGTGTGTAAGATATCCTCACCGCAACAGAGGATAAAATACAGATATAAGATTCTTCAAATGAAAAAAGTGATATAAGGTATAACTTAAGAAAAAAAAAAAGCGACTTAATCCTTGGACGTATAACGCGAATTGTTCTGATCATAATATAAAAGGGCACACACATTCGCCCTTTTTTATTATAATTTGAATATTAACGACTGTACCTTTGTCTTCTTTTAGATAGTTTTTGAGCACACAATTTACTCAACACAAAATTTATCAAATTAATTTTCTGTTGAGTTTTTGCGAATTTTATTAGGAAGCCATAAATCCAAGGATTAAATCGTACCTATGTTTTGTATTGATATGAACTATATTTAATTTAATTTTTTTTGTTATCACTTTTACTTCAAATAATCTATCACGTAATGATTCAGATATGATATATTTAAGCGAATATGTTAAAGCGAGAACTTCTAGAAGTACGTAATATTTTATATTCCGTTTCTTGATTGTCTGACAATTCAAAGTGAATCTTTTTTACTTATTACATGCATACGTTATCAGTATGTACCTATAGCGCCTATAGTTATTGTATTTCACGTGACTTACAATGTGACTGTGTAGGCTCTCAGGATAGAAAATACACATTCTTACACAATACAAAGGAACAAAGAATATCGTGCGTTAGAATTAGCTCGGACAGCCACTATAATTGTTGAACGTTTCAAAGTATATTGTATGTACAACGAAGAGAGTTACTGGCTAGCTGTATCATTGTCATTGCGATTGAATATCTCAAGTTACAAATCACTCTACAAAATTTATGTTGCATGAAAGATAATAATTATGTATTAAGTATTTTGTACAAATATATATTGAAGGTTAGAAAAATAATTATTTTTCATAATATACTGAGATGATATGAGTTAATAAACAATAATAAGTAATTTTTATATTAAATGTTACTTACGATGAAGTACAATTATATGTTAAACTTTTAATTTTCATTTACCCTGTAAGTCGAATCAACTAATTTTTTTTTTCAGAATATTTAATATGGTTTTTCCAAAATATTTTATTTCAAGTTCCATATAATATGTGATATTCTACAATAAAAGAAATAAAACATCTACATACATTCAGTTATTTATTAAAAGGATAATAATCCAATCCACTGTTGTATTTAAATTCGCGTTTGCTATTGCGCTGCTTGTTTGCTTGTTCCATCAATTTCTGGACGCTAGGCCTAAGAAAAAAAAATTGATTGCAAATCATATGAATTATATTGTAAATAAAGTAAAGGTAGAATGAATCACATACCTGTAAGGTGGTGGTAACATCTCTTCATGGAATGTACATTCCACTTTAAATGGTGTATTTTGTTTGAATATTTTTAATCTGACGATATCGATATCTCTATTACATTTATCTAAGATGCTCTCTACTTCTTTGGGTGGTACATCAAAATATATAAAGAAATGACTGGAAATACAAAGAAAAAATATCAGAAATATAAAATAAAGTAAAATATGTGAATAGATATTTTATTATTGCTTCAGTAAACACTAATGAAGAAATAATTTGTCAAGTGCATTTAGTTCCTTTCTAATTAAGATAGAACTTGTGCTTTAATCAATATTATTATTATCATCTTACTTTGCTTCACGATGAACGTGTCCATGTGCACTAGTTTTGCATGGAAGTGCTTTCACCCCACAATTTTCAATTTTTCTGATAAAACCACCGGTATTAAATATCGTTTCAGCTGTTCTCTTTAAGGTTGCTACCAATTCTGGCTACAAACACAAATCGAATTTTCGCAAATTATTTTACAATACATAATATTTAACATTATTTGTGTGAATTAATAAATTATATCATATGTACAAATGGAAATAATTTATTGTATCATTTGTGAAATATAAAAAAAACATAACCTATACGTTACAATACGATACCTTCTTCATGACACGTATCAACAATGGCATTTCATATGTAGGCATATTTGCAATTGTTTTGTCTCTCTAATGATGTACAATTCCCAGAAAACTTTAACAATAATACAACTGACATAACATCATTATTTTAACAAATCGAATTCGCTATACAGAAAAATCACAAACTATATTAATCTACATAGATCACCAAACCACCTAGACCAGAGAGAAGCGTGAGAGCGGCCACGCCGCTTTTTTGGTGGGACCAATCTCCTTTTTTGAAAACGTGGACGTGGGGCGCTAGTGTACGGAGGAGATCGTCGGTCCCAAGCTCCCAAGTGCTTGTGCTTATACGCTTCTCTGCTTATGCGGTGGAGATTAGATCGCGGTTATGTAATAAAGCAGAATTGAAGATCGTAGCGATATAGCGTGTTACCACTGTTACCTATCGGAAGATTCGTGGATATGGCTACGTAATTCAATTTGTGAATATAGAGAACACATGTTCCGCTTAAGAAATGCAGGTTTCCACTCTCAAGCTTGTCTTTGCTTCACGTCTCCAGTGTACGTACAATTTGTATACGTTCTGGTGAGCCATGGTATTCGAATTATTCGATAGTGTTCAAGAAGAATAGATAAAGCAAGAACACGTGTTAGAAAATTATTGAACAACAATTTTAGCTAATCGAAGACATCTTATTTATATAAAGGTACGGTAACTTTCATTGTAAATAGCGTATTGTAAAACTATTGTAATATTTTTGCCAATAGATTTAGATCATTTTTCGATAGTTTTAGTTTATTTTCTCATACAATTTTTGTGATTTTACTAATGGTGCATACAGAAAGATATTGTAATTTGTTCATTATTCAGTGAGCGTCCTTTTATTTAATTTCTTCTTAATAAACATTTGAAAAGATAATATAGAAATTTTCTTAAAGAGTTAAAAATGTATTGGTACAATTACGTACAGTTTACATTGATCATCGAAACAGGAGACTTATTGTTATTTCAGTTATTTGGCGAATGCAGTGAAAATGGCAGAATTATCAAGCGATAGCAAAAGCGATGATAAAAGTGAAAACGATATCAAAGGCGTTAATATAAGCAATGGCAAAAGTGAGAGCATAAATGATAACAAAAGCGATAATATAAGCGATGGCAAAAGTGATAGCGTAAACGATAACAAAAACGTTAATATAAACGTTGACGAAAAGGAAATTATTCGTAGGCATTTCTACAAAAACCGCATAAGAAAAGATAATATTAAGTTAGAATTTGATGATAGTACACCTCAAGAAGAAAGGCGCAGACTGTTACTGGAACATCAGAAGAAGTATGTATGACTACTATATATAGGAATATGTTATTATTAAATGTATATCTTATATAAGAATTAATAGACATAAATGTAACATTGTTTGAATTATATAGAAAATCTACAAAAGAATTAATACACTTGTGACAAGTATTTTGTTCAATAATTATTTTCTATGCATTGAAAAAAAAATTACTAATAAGCATGAATTAATAAGAATTTAACTTAATATGAAAATACTGAAAAATATTTTGTAATAAGATGATCAATGAAATAAACAATTTAATTTTTGTTTTCTTAGCCATTAAAGAAAAGGTTAAGACATTTGACGTTTTTTTAATTGCAACTACTATTGCTATAATTATTTAATTATAATTATATTTTAGTTCTTTACTGACTCCTATCATCATATTTTTTAAGTTATTTTGAAGTTTTTTTATTCTTTTCTCATTTTATTTTTTTATACAGATATATAATATATGCTATTGTATGATTTTTATAGATTTAGAGATGCAACATTTAATGCTTCACGCGGTATATCGCAAGAATGTTCAGAGAATGAAGAATATGTTATGGATGCAGAGGAGTATACTGCGGAGGAATACATGGATGTGGAGGAATACAAGAAGGATATGGAGGATATGTATATGAGAGAGAACTTCGCCTCGTCATATTATAGGATTACTTCTCATGATTCCAGAAGTAATCGAATGATGCTGTCCGAATGGATGATGGATGTGCCGCAAGATTTTACTGAAAATTGGATTATGGTTCCATGTCCAATAGGAAAACGAGTTAGGCTGATCTCAGGCTGGGTACAAATTATCTTTACTGACATTTATTTATTATCATACATAAGAAACCTTTGTTACAAATGTATAATAACTATCTTAACAATTTCAAATCAGGGTGAAACAAGGGCATATTCTAGAAAAGGTGCTCTACATGGTGTTTTCCCTTCGGCACTTCCAGGTGGAAATCCTGATAGTGATTTGCATAACTCTGCTGCTTTAGATTGTATATGGATAAAAGAAAAAAAACTCTTTTACATATTAGATGTGTTGTATTGGAGTCAGTTGCCATTCACGAATTGTGAGGTAATATACATATATATTACTGAATTGTTAAATCAATCTGCATTCATAAAATAATTGATATAAATTATATATAAGAAATAAATAAAAATATATATATATTTATATATTATTTTTTGTATACATGTGATGTTATTTTAGGTTGAGTGTAGGTTCTTCTGGATCAAATGTAAGTTCCAGGAAATACCCGAACTCAAAGAACGTGGCACTGATACAAATAGATATCCTATCTTACCTCCACAAAAGATTGATTGTAACTCAGACTTATATACAGCTTTAACAAATCTTAATATTGAACATCCTTTGGATGGGTTTCTATTTTATCATCGTCAAGCACTATATACTTATGGACAGACTCCACTTGTTACTTGGTTAAAACCTTTCATGTTATCAGAAGTACTTGGAATAGCTGTACCTTCATCATGGCTTGATGAGAAACCCAACGATTATATAAATTTTGAACATCACGTGCAAAAAGTAAAAAGGAAGAAAAATCAATATACAACTAATATTGTTACCAATTCCGTAAGTTTCTGTATTATACAATGTAATGAATATCAACTTTGTGTATGTATTGTTTTTTACTTAATATATTTTTTAATTTTTACAGATGGAAATAGAAGGTGTTGTTTAAATTAGAGCTTATTTTATTATTATGATCTCAAACTAGAAACAATTTATATAATAATGTAAACTTAATATATTTTTTTATTGATAAAGACGCAACATATGGATGTGTATTACATCCTTTTTTCAAAAAGTGACGCAATTAAAAAAAATTAAGTTTTCCAGAAAAAAGAAAAAAAACTTTCAGTTTATTAAAAAATTGACTGATTATTTAATATCGACAAAAAGAATATATTTCTTAGATACATGATAATGATTCTGTCATTTTTAAAACGAGTGCAAATATATATCTTTTTTCTTTTAAATAAAAATTATTAAAATAGATCGTTCACCTTTTTTATTATGATATAATAAATAATTATTGCAATAATCATGATATTGTATTTAAATCGTATATTATTTATATCACAAGCATTAAAATATAAGGTTCATATATCAATATGCACAGTATGAAATACATCAAGAGCTTTGTCACTGAAGTACAACAATATGTTATTCAAAATTTCTACGTTCGTTACTTTCATCTAAAAATAAATAGACATTATGGAGTATATAAACATGTATCAAATGTAAAAAGTATATTTTAACATGATTTAGATGTAAAATGACAAGAAATAAAGACCATGTAAAAACTTACTCTATTCTCCATTATCGTTACTCCGGGCAGATTAATCCTATGCAGCGTACATAATCCTAACTGCAAACCTCCCAGCATTAACATTTGCTTATGCAAGACTTCATAAAACATTTCTATGTGTTCATGCTCGAGAGATGTGTTAACTCTGTCATCTTGATCTTCGCTGTGTCTAATCCTGTAAATTAAATTAGTAATATAAAATATATGCTACAAATAATATTGAATGTTTTCTTTACAGTTAAACTTTAATCTGCGTACACTGATAGGATCTTCCTCAAGTCTGAAGTATGAAATTTAACTCTAATGGTATCTGTAACTGGCAATTCTGACACCGTGTATTCCATTTGAACCTCGCCAGAGACTATCGGCTCCTCCTCCTTCGTTGTCGTAATTATAATCGGAATCAGCCAGCTCAAGTCGTCCGCGTTAGCTGGTAGCGTAACTACCAAGCAGTCAAACATACGACCGATGATGGCGTGCACTGCCTCCATACAACTACGAGTGCCACGACACAGCAGAAGTGGCAATCTTACGGAATTCTGTATATTTGATTCAGTCTGTGTTAACCTCCAGGACAATAATATCCCTTTATAGATGGATTTCTCAACGTCCCTCTCACGATCATCGATTTTAGTTACAACTTCAATCTGAAACATATTTTAAACAAGCTTAAATATAGTTGTCTTTCTAACAGTGTACACATTTTAATAGAATATATCAAATAAAGAAGTGTCAAGAATTAAAACTTTCTTTAAACCTTGATTGCTGGATTGTCATAGTTTGGATTAGACGTAATATTTTCCACAATAGAAAACTTGGCGTCATAAGTTACATCTTCACGCGTTAATGTGCTCGCAATCTCTTCTCTTAATCTCTTTGAATACAATTTGAAGTGAACGTCATCTTTTTCAATGCCAAACAGAGCAGATGCCGCATAAATGTTCCATGTTTGGCCTACTAGATCTGTAAAGTTACATTTGTTCATATATGAATTATGATTATGGTATTCAAACATAAACATTTAAGCTGGGTAGTCAATTGACATGCTAAAACTAAATTATACATCTTGAGAATTGTCAGGATGAGAAATTTCTGTGATGCATCGTTATCATCGTTATATAAGCTAGAATACACTTTCTGAGTTTTCGTTCTCAGACACGAAAGAGCACGTACCTTCTAGTCCTTCTAGTCCATCAGTCCCGTCCTCCTCTGGCCTGGTACTCAGGTCGAACCGTTGTCGTTGACGCATTCGCGGCGTGCGCGGGGTATACATCACGCTGCGGGCGCTGCCCGGCCTGCTCTCCGTCTGAATCGTCTGATGGGTCTGGTTCATCTTACGGAGGTAGGAAAAATCACTCTCGTAGACGTTAAAATATCCGAAAATAAAGTAATAAAATGAGATCGCGCTACGTGCTATATTTCTTGATGTGACGCGAACACACGACCGCGCGAACGTCAATGAGACTTCAAACCATTTCAAAACGGTTGAAAACTTCGTCGAATTCGAGCGCGCGTGGCGGCATGAAGCACTTTGATATATGATCGGTTACTGTGTTACATCTTTACAAATTGCTCTCCCGTTCGTAACGTATTATTAATTTTAGATTAAGATAATCTTAAAACATATATATTTATTTATATGATAAATTAGTAAAAATAAAATAACGAAAAACTATACGGAAGTGTCAATATAAAAAGTAAGGTTATATAAGAATTTAATAATCATTAAAATAATTATATATAGTATAATATATTAATAAAATACTAAAACAATAAAACAATATTGATGAAGACGTATCCGCTGGCAGTTTTACACAACTGAAACTATCAAATTTTCATATGTTACGTGAAACAATTTAATTAAATGAGAATAAAGTTGACATCACGTAACATATATTTATAGCAATTGAAGTGATCGAGAAGCTCAAATAAAAAAAAAGTTTGTCTTAAAATATAGTCTAAATCCCTTTCTTTTTTTTTAATTTTTATATCTGTACCATGTATTTATAGATTACCTATGTCTGAATCGTGTTTTAACCTGTTTTAACCTTTCACATGTGTCCACGCGATCGTCAAGACAGATCTTCGCCAATCACATTCGGTCACGCGTCTCCCTGTCCTCTCCCCTCCCCCCTTTTCACGCGCATGCATCGCGAGCGCGCTCGCGTCTTTCGATCAATGTTGACGTGGGTCGTGTTTATATCCCGTCCCGCGTTGTTTTTGTCTCCCGCGCAAAAACGCAGAACGGTGTTTTCTCGCGGGAGGTTAAGAATTAGGAGAGAACGACAGCACCCCCCTCCCCCCGCCGTTCCCTGAGTCTGTGCGTCGGAGTCGCGTCACCGTGTTGCGCTCCGGATGAGCGCGAGCGCGCGGCAATGGCAACGATAGAAGTCACATTCCCGTCGGACGGACCGCCCGGGAGAATCCTGAAATGGAGGGTACGCTCCGACACAATGGTCGCGGCGGGCAGGATACTCCTGCTGTACCAGAACGCGACCGCGCTGGCCGCGGACGACGAGGAGGCCAAGGAGCCCGAGAGGAAGCTGCGGGCCACGAATTTCGGCCGTGTCAAGCAGCTCCTGGCCAAGGAGGGTGACGTCGTTCAACCTGGGTATGCATCCCTCCCGCAATCTTTCGATGACAGTTTACGTGCGAGATCTCGTAGCGTCGCCACGCTCATAAATCTGCACAATTGCCAACGCTTTAAGCATCGTCAAGTGAAGAACACCTGTGTATCTTTCGTTACCTTGCATTTTGCATTAAACGAGAACTTTGTAAAGATCCCTTTCAATTTGACATTGTATTCATAGCGTAAATTGACAGATTCTTCAGCCTTTAAGCAAAATAAGATAATAAAGAGCTTCTGCTCCGTTTTTGAAAATCGAAAAAAGAAATTGAAAATAGTTTGTACATTCTTTTGAAATATTTCGTTTTTAATGTCGGAATATTTTCAAAATAAGAATTTTACATAATAATTATATTACATGTAGAAGCACATTTAAACTGAAACGATATTATCATGTGGTGGAGCTTATTCAAAATGTATTTGAATTTTGTGATATCTGCATAGTCGGTTAGTGTTCCAGGCAAGTGATAGTTCTACTGGAAGGATGTACACATCCCACTGTGATGATAGACTTGTGTGCAGAATGCGGAGCCGATCTGAGGGTGCAAGAGACCAGCAAAGATGGAAACACAGCTGGAGTAAGTCAAGCCAGTGTGCCAATGGTGCACAGTATACCGGAGCTGAAAGTATGTCCAGAATTAGCGGAGAAAATTGGGAAGGAGGATGAGCAACGTCTTTTAACGGATCGGAAATTAGTGCTGCTTGTGGATCTCGATCAAACAATCGTTCACACCACAAACGATAATATTCCACCTAATTTGAAAGTATGTGAATATAATTATGCTGACATAATTTTCCATAAAAGAAGAACCATCGACATAGAATTTCCGGGCATAATTGTAAAATAATCATATGTTATGTTTTCTTTTAAAGGATGTTTTTCATTTTCAACTATACGGGCCAAACTCCCCGTGGTATCACACCAGATTAAGACCAAACACCCGGCATTTTCTCTCGGAAATGAGCCGTTTGTATGAACTACATATTTGTACTTTCGGAGCAAGAATTTATGCACACACTGTCGCATCATTGCTGGATAAGGATGGAGTTCTGTTCTCTCACAGGATACTTTCAAGAGACGAATGTTTCGATCCCGCATCCAAAACTGCAAATCTCAAGTATTTATAAATTACTTATCTTAAATTGTATAGTATTATTGAAGATAAATATTTGGAGATTTGTACATTACATTATTTATTGCAGAGCTTTGTTTCCATGCGGCGATGACTTGGTGTGTATCATAGACGATAGGGAAGACGTGTGGCAAGGGTGTGGAAATCTGGTTCAAGTCAAACCCTATCATTTTTTCCGTCACACCGGCGATATTAATGCACCACCGGGTTTGGAGAAGGCTGACGCGTCGCGCTCGCCGGAGCCGACGAATGCAGACCAATCCTGTACAAATGATTTGCAAAATAAGGACAGCAAGGATGATGCATCTGAACTATTAAATGAAGCCGAATCATTGGTCAATCCCTCTGTAGAAGAAACAAATCCCTCTGTAGAAGAAACAAATCCCTCTGAAGAAGAAACAAATCTCTCTGTAGAAGAAACAAATCCCTCTGAAGAAGAAACAAATCCCTCTGTAGAAGAAACAAATCCTTCTGTAGAGGAGACAAATCATGAGGATGAGAAAGATGAGACGATTGAGAACGAGGTGAAAAAAACCAAGAATGTAGAAGATGAAGATACCAAAGTGAACACTGAAGAAGAGAATGCAGAATCTAATGTTCAGTCTGATACTCTGAAAGAGGACGATAAAACGGATAAGGAAGAGACGGAAATTATACCATCTGTGGAGGACAAGACAGACAAGGACAGCAAACAACCGACACCAAAGCAGGACAGTAATATAATAGACGAAGATGACGATGATTATCTACTCTACCTGGAAGATATTCTTCGGAGAATTCATACAGAGTTTTACGCTACGTTGGACCAAGAGAATACTCGAAAGTCTTTGCGGGATATAATCCCGCGGGTTCGCTCTCAAGTCCTGAAAGGATTATACTTGACTTTCAGTGGCTTGATACCCACTCATCAAAAGCTTCACCAAAGCCGTGCATATAAGGTTGCGAGAGCGTTCGGAGCAGACGTGACTCAAGTAACGTATTTGTATTTGTTATTTTTATAATATTTTATTACATTTCTACAAGTAACAATAGAATTTTGCCAGGATTTAACGGAGAAAACCACGCATCTGGTTGCTATTAGAAAGGGTACTGCGAAAGCGAATGCAGCTCGTAAAGACGCAAACATTAAAATCGTAAATTCGGATTGGCTGTGGACGTGCGCGGAGCGCTGGGAGCATGTGGATGAACGCCTGTTTCCTCTCACGTCACAGGTATAATATTGCAATTAAGTTACGTTACTTAAAGATTTTTGCGATAACTGTTTAAAACGTATCTTGTCTCGGCATTAATAATAAACATGAAGCATCGTAGGCGCGGGGATCGAGGGTGCCGCCACCGCACTGTAGCAGTCCGGAACGCATCGAGGATGTAGAAAGCGATAGTACAAATTCCTTCGCCAACTCTATCAATCCATTAATGTCATTCACTCAAGAGGAGATTGAATTTATGGATAAAGAAGTGAACGAGGACATGGAAGATATGATTTTTGATGACGAAGAAGATGCGGATGATACGGAAGAATGTGGTACAAGGATACGTCGTCGAAGCTCCGATTCTGAAGATTCTGCGAATGGTAAAGCCCATTATTCATTCAGAGATACAATTCTGTCTATAATTTTATATACTGTGTATAATATCGGGAACATTAAAAAATCAGGATATATACATATATATACATGCACAATAGAATAAAAAATGAAAAATTGTCATTTTATGTTAAAATATCTCGAGTGAACTGTAGTTTTCAAATTGCTTTTGTGTTGCAATTACAATTTTTGTGGGAAAGAATTGTAAAATTCTGGAGAGAACTAGTTTTTATTTTAAATACTTATTGTTTGAACATTTTTATTCTCTAAGGCACGACACAGTATCATGATTTATTTATTACCATGGGATTAAATATTTTGTAGACTTTATTTCTATCAAAATGGAATATTTTTTCACTTAATTCTTAATGTTATTTATGCAAGGAATTAAACCCGGATTTTTATTTGATAGATGATTGCTCTAACATTGAGTTGTCCAGTATCTATCTTTGATTTTTTTTTTCATGAATTACAGGTTATCTAACATATATTTCGCATAAAAAGTGTATTTTATTTGTAAATTTAACAAAGTTTTCTCTTATGTTACGAATATAGATGAATTGGGCGTTTCAAGAAGAAAAAAGAGAAAGATTTACAATGGTAACTCTGATAAGGGTTCTTCCAAGGATAAAGACAACAATCCTGACAGTGATGACGATGACAATAACGACAGTGATGACGACGATCTTGTCGCACGTTTTAGAAGAGGAGGAGAATTGCCCGATGATTTAGATCTAGGCGATAACTCACAGGACTCTGCGGATGATTTCGAAGAAGAGGATAACGAAGATGACAGAGAATGGAATGCGTTAGGTGCTGCGCTTGAAAGAGAGTTCCTTTCCGAGTGACATGTTTGAATATTAGAATTTTTAATATTTTTATTGAATGATTAACTCAGGATGTTTTACGTTATTTATAAATTTCAAGTTCGATAGCCGAAGCAGGGTTATTGATAATAATGAGCATTATTTGTACATTATTCTGATAGAATCAGAGATATTAACAATATTAAAAGAATTTGAAAAGAATAGATTGAAATAGCTAATCTAATGAAACAAGAACGTATAAAAATGAATGGAAAAGAATTCTGTGTATATCGATCAATAGGATACTGAATTTTAACTCAAATTTTGCACACATATTTAAATGCATCAGTCGTTAGCCTTACGTGACAGATAAATATAAGTAATTATTCTTCTTCAAGAGTAATTTGTGGATAGTACCGTAGCACTGTGAATAACACATGTGCCATTGAACATAATATTGTAAGGTTTTTTTCTCATGCGAGAGAAAAGGTTGACAGCCGATCTTTATCTTTATGTATATAATATAAATATAATTAGAGAATGAGAATTTATTTTCTAATATTTTTAGACCTATCACATTAACGTTGATGATGAGTAAGCTTTTGTATTGAAAATCTAGAATGTATCAGAAAATTTGAAAATAAAAAAACTTGTAGTACGTACAATTTGTAATGTACATTTTTTCTGTTGAATATTTATAATTTAATTATCAGATTTCCATGTACAGTATTTTATTAATCAACTGATGGAACGGTGTCTGGTTGTGGATCATCAGGATTTTCATAGTATTTCAGATATGCCTTCTTATGCGTGAAGTCTCGAATACCTTCCAGTCTTCCTCTCCGCGGTGCTTTCGAGTAATCAAAGGCCGAGTTTTCTTTGCCATATAATTCGTTCAATTCCTCTATTTCATCCCTAAATTTACAAAAAAATATGGAATAAAGATTTAAGGTTATTCATACATGCTACTCACAAATGCTCCTAAGTAATGGCGTGAAAGTAACAGTATGTTTACCTATATTTATTTGCGACAACCCCCTTTCCTGTGATCGGGTCTATTATATCACCTAACGGATATATCACTTCGACAACCTATATGTACATTGCAGATAATTTAATTTCATAAAAATACACAAAAGTCATTCATTAAACTATTCATTTAAGTATTCAAATCGAATCTTTTTCTCGTAACATCACAGTGGCAGTAATTAGCTGGATAGGACAATACATACCTCATGCGTGATCAGACGCGTTAACTTCTCTGGTAATGTCTTTATTAAAATCACATCGCCAATTTTGCACACCTTCTTCGGATCGTTGGCATAAACGAATGTGTTCTCCCTGAAGTACTGTTGAACAGGAGGAAATATAACCTCAATTAGGAATCTGAGTAAACAATTATTGTATGATACATAATGCACGATGTACATGCGTATACTAACCATGTGAAGATAATCATTGAATTGCAATCGCGGTACCCTCACTTTGGCGGCGTTCTGCTTCGACGAAGGTACGCATGTTCCCAGAAAATACCGCAACGCGGTCCTACCCGCTGCCCTCGAGGCCATCTTTAAATGAACGACCATCTGATCGCCTATATAGTATATACGCACATCCTACAGATAACTTCGACCGAACTCCGCTTAACTTATTGTTAATAATTATCAAATAATACGTGTGGAATTTCGTTAACAAGGCTAAAACTAATGTTATTCTGACATACACAAAATAATTAAATTAAGAACGACGAACTATGTATTCAGAAATTTAAATAAAAATTATTATAAACAAACTTTGAATTAATCACCTATTTATTAAGTTAATCAGAACTAGTTCAATCGGAAAAACCCGGACAAAGAATTCTTCATTTATTTTTATTGCACGGCACGTTACATGCATTCGTTTTTCAGCTACGCTTTCTACGTTTCTAATTTTTCCCTTCTATGCCATGTGCAAACTATACAGGGTGTCCCAGAATTGGCGCATTCGGAGTACAGGACGTTATACTTTGTGTTAAAAGAAACAACTTTTTCCTTTAACAAATTTTGATCTGACAAGTAATTTTGGCAGGAGAGCTGGTTAAAGTTAACGAATAATCGCTCTTATCCATGCGGCGCTCAGGGCCGGCGCGCGCTCCTCCATTCACTTGTTCCTAATCCTTGGCTAATATTTACAAATAATGTCTTAAA